GTGCAAAATCTAAATTTGTTTTGATTTTCTACTTTTCCTATTAAGTTTATTTTTTTATTTTTGAAAATTTTTTTAAAGTTGTAATTAGATTAGTATAGAAATCAGTTCTAAAATTGTTATCAAGTGTCTCAAATCAAAAAAATTAATTGAAAAAAATATTTATGTTTGATTATTTAATATATTTTTGTTATTAAGGTTTTTAATTTCTGTCATGTTTTGATAAAAAAAACAAAATTTATTTCAGTAATTATAAAAAAAATAAAATTAAATGAATACAAATTTTGTCTTTCTCTATACTATTTTTATATTTTTAACAAAGATAAAAGTTTTTTGTAGTTAAAGGACACTAATAAAATGATAAATAGTTAAACATTAATTATATAAAATATTAATTTTCTTAATTATATTTTTTAATTGAAATAAATCATTTAAATTCTAATAAGATAGAAAGATAGAAATAAATGCAATTTATTTTTTCAATAAATCATTTTCATTAATTTTTATTGATTGTTTTTTCAGAATATACTGCAATTATCTCTAATGTATAATATTAAATTTCCTTATTATTTTTAGTTTAATTTTTTATTTAACAAAAATTTTAGATTGGTGGGACACCGAAATTCACCTTTATATACATACATAAATACATTATTTATGATTAAAGCTTCGATTATTTTGTAAAAATATGGGATGGTTTGAGAAAAATTCGTTCATTTATTTAAGTAAATTTAATATATAAATATAATATTCATAAATTTATAAATAGTGATAAATTTATTTATTTTGTTTTAGGTAAAATATCTTATTACAAAATATTAATAATTAAACATATATATTATTTTCAATTATTTAAATATTTTATATTTATTCATTCTTTTTCACCAATTGTAAATAATCATTTCAAAGACAACTAATCTTTTTGATTTAAGTTACTTACTTTTTACTTTCAATTATTATTATTAATTGATTTATTTTTTACTTTTATTTTATATTAAATTAAAATAAAATACTAAAAAAGTTAAATAGATTAAGATTTTTTAATTAAAAATTATATTAAAATTAAAATAAAAAAAATATTAGCAGAATAAAAAAAGAAATAATCAAATAAAAATAAAAATATAATAAAAGAATTAAAAGAGTTATATTATTTTAAATTTAATTTTATAATTAAAAATATCATAATCCAAAACAAATAAACTGTTTTTACTTAAGATAAAGACCCAAATTTGAGAGATTAGTGCAATTTGCTAAAGCAGAACTTAAGCTTGATGTACCAGTTGAGCCTATTTAATTGTTACTTTTTAAATATTGAAGAAAAAATCTATCATTAAATAGTTGTTTAAAAGGAAAAATGAAAATAAATATCCATAATAATAAATGAATTAATAAATAAACAATAACAGAAAATTTTAAAAATAAAAAAATTAGTTAAATAAACAAAGATAGAAAAATAAAATAAGAATAATTAAAAAGAAAAATAAACTAAATAAAAAACTAATATACAAATTAAAAGAGTTATGTTTTTTTAAATTCATTTTATAACTAAAAATATCACAATCCAAAACAAATAAAATGTTTTTTTACCTAAGATCTAGTGCCAAATTTGAGAGATTAGTGAAATTTACTAAAGCAGAACCTAATCCTGATGTACCTTAATCGTCAATTTAATTATTACTTTTTAAATATTGTAGAAAAAAAAAAATAATTAATTAATTATTTAAAAGGAAAAAGGGAAGAATAAATATGAAATAAAAATAAATAAATAATTAAATCAAATGCTGAAAATAAAAATATGACTTAAATTATGAAAGATAAAAAGAAAAAAACACAAGTAAAATAAAAAAGAAAAATGAATTTAATAAAAAGCTATTAAAAGAGTTATATTGTTTTAAATTTTTTATTATAAATAAAAATACAAACAAGTATAATAAAAAAGAAAAAGAAAAATAAATTGAATAATAAACTAATAAACAAGTTAAAAGAGTTAATTATATTGTTTTAAATTCTTTATTATAACTTAAAATATTACAATCCAAAACATATAAAATGTTTTTTTACCTAAGATCTAGTGTCAAATTAGAGAGATTAGTGCAATTTGCTAAAGCAGAACCTAATTCTGATGAACCAGTTGCACCAATTTTATTACCACTTTTAAAATATTGAAGAAAAAATAAATAAATAATTAATTAATTAGTTATTTAAAAGGAAAAAATAAGAAATAATAATAAATTAATTAATAACTAATAAAAGTAAATGTTAAAAATAAAAAAAATGAATTAAATTAGGAATGAGAGAAGAAAAAAACAAAAGTAAAATAAAAAAGAAAAAAATATAAAATAAAAATAAATTAAATATAAAGCTAATTAACAAATTAAAACAGTTAAATTGTTTTTAATTAGTTTTTATAATAATTAAAAATATCACAATCCAAAACAAATAAACTGTTTTTACCAAAGATCAAGTGTTAAATTTGAAAGTTTAATGCAATCTGCTAAAGCAGTACCTAAGCATGATGCACCATTTGCACCAATTTCATTCCAACTTTTTAAATATTGAAGAAAAATAATTAATTAATTATTTAAAAGGAAAAAATATGAAATTATAATAAATGAATTAATAAAAATAAAAAAATGAGTTAAATTAGGAAAAATATATAAAAAAAAAACTAAAATAAAAGAGAAAAAGAAAAATAAATTAAATAAAAAGCTAATATACATATTAAAAGATTTATATTGTTTTAAATTCATTTTACTCTTACTAAAATTATAACAATCCAAAACAAATAAACTGTTTATACTTAAGACTAAAATCCAAATTTGAGAGATTAGTGCAATTAGCTAAAGCACAACCTAAATCTGATACACCAGTTGCACCAATTTCATTCCCACTTTTTAAATATTAAAGAAAAATATTTTATTAATTAGTTATTTAAAAGGAAAAAAGTGAAGAAAAAATATGAAATAAAAATAAATGAATTAATAAATCATACAAGTAAAATAAAAAAGAAAAAGAAAAATAAATTAAATAAAAAGCTTGCAAATAAACAAATTAAAAGAGTTATATTTTTTTAATTCTTTTTTATAACTAAAAATATCAGAATCCAAAACAATAAACTGTTTTTACCCAAGACCAAGTGTCAAATTTGAGAGATTTATGCAATTTGCTAAACCAGAACCTAATCCTGATGCACCAGTTGCACCAATTTTATTCCCACTTTGAAGTAAAAATAATTAATTAGATATTTAATAGGAAAAAAATGAAGTAAAAATATGAAATAATAATAAATGAATTAATAAATAAATAAAGAATTCAAGCAAATGTTAAAAATAAAAAAGAATGAGTTAAATTAGGAAAAATAGAAGAAAAAAACACAAGTAAAATAAAAAAGAAAATGAAAAATAAATTAAATTAAAAAGCTAATATACAAATTAAAAGAGTTATATATTTTAAATTCATTATTTTAACTAAAAATACCACAATCCAAAACAAGCAAATAAACTGTTTTTACCTAAGTTCAAGTGTCAAATTTGAGAGCTAAGTGCAATTTGCTAAAGCAGAGCCTAAGTCTAATGCACCAGTTACACCAATTTCATTCCCACTTTTTAAATATTGAAGAAAAATATTTTATTAATTAGTTAACAAAAACAAAAAATATGAAATAATATTAGTAATAAATGAATTAATAAATAAACAGTACAAGTAAATGTTAAAAATAATAAAGGATGAGTTAAATTAGGAAAAATAGAAGAAAAAAACACAAGTAAAATAAAAAAGAAAAAGAAAAATTAATTTAATAAAAAGCTAATAAACAAATTAAAAGAGTTGTATTGTTTTAAATTCTTTATTTTAACTAAAAATAATACAATCCAAAATAAATAAAATGTTTTTACCTAAGTTTAAGTATCAAGTTTGATAGATTAGTGCAATTTGCTAAAGCAGAGCCTAATCCTGATGCACTGTTTGCACCAATTTAATTCTTACTTTTTAAATATTAAAGAAAAAACAAATTTTTAATAACTTATTTAAAAGGAAAAAAATGAAGAAAAAATATGAAATAATAATAAATAAATAAATAAATAATACAATTAAATGTTAAAAATAAAAAAAAATTAGTTAAAATAGGAAAGATAGATAGAAGAAAAAAACAAAAGTAAAATAAAAAAGAAAAAGAAAAATAAATTAAATAAAAAGCTAATCAATAAATTAAAAGAGTTTATGTTTTAAATTCTTTATTTTTACTAAAAATATCACAATTCAAAACAAATAAACTGTTTTTACCTAAGTTCAAGTGTCAAATTTGAGAGATTAGTGTAATTTGCTAAAACAGAACCTAAGCTTTATGAACCAGATGCGCCAATTTAATTCCAACTTTTTAAATATTGAAGAAAAAAATATAATTAATTTTTATTTAAAAGGAAAAAATGAAGAATAATAAGAAATAGTAAGAAATGAATTAACAAATAAAAGAAACTCTTTTAATTTTTTTATTATCTTTTTATTTAATTTATTTGTCTTTTCTTTTTTATTTTAATTGTGTTATTTTTTTTCTTCTATATTAATTAATTTAACTCATTGTTATATTTTCAAAATTTGTATAATGCTTTAAATTCATTTTTATAAATAAAAATATAGCAATCCAAAATAAATAAACTCTTTTTATCATTTAAAAGTTATAGAAGTAAAAAATGAATAAAAAATATATAATTATAAAAAATGGATAAAGAATTAAAAAATTTAAAGTGAAAATTAAGTTAAAATTATGAAAAAAGAATTTTATAAATGAATTTTATTGATAATTTCTATTAGAAAAATTATATTTTAAATAAATTAAAGTTAAATTTAAAAATTAAATATACCTCAGATAAATATGGAGAACCTAATCAGATTAAAGTGAAGTGTTTAAAAGCTTTTAATATTAATAAAAATAAATTTAAAGTAATTATATTGATAAAAAAATATATAATTACTTCTTCTAATTTATAATATTTAATCTATTATATCATTTATTTTTTTTCCTAAATATTGAATATCAATCAATGGAAATTTAATTTATTATAAATAATATTTTTAAGTACGCATTTTAAATAGAAATATTAAGATTTAGTGATTTCTATTACTAAAAGCAAATTTATAAATTCAAATAATTTATTTGTTCTTTTTATCCAGTCTGAACCATAGATTGGATATAAAGGATAATTAGAATGCAAAATCACTAGAATAAAATAAATTTCTAACATATTTAGTTTTATTTTTTAAATTTCCAACATTCAAAAATTAATTTGAATATTAAAAAATTAACTACAAAAAATTAAGGTATATCTAGTTTGCTAACGTTAATAGAAAAATTAAAAAACATTATTCTTATTGTTATGAATTTTATTTTAAAAAAATTAATTAGATAGTTAATTAAAAATCAATCACATCTAATGCATATTTTACAAATAAATTAAATAAAAATTAATTAGTTAAATTTTATAAAATGTTTTATTTGCCTTAAGTATCGCTTTTATTTTTCTTCTTCAGAAAGTAAGTAAAACTGCAGTAAAAGCTAAAGCGAATTACATAACCTTTCCAGAAGAAGGATTAGTGCTAACTTTAGATTCTGCCTTTTTAGCTTCTTCTTAAGCATTGTTTGCTTCTTTAGCCTTCTTAGCTTCTTCTTCTTTATCATTCTTAGCTTCTTCTTCTTTAGCATTCTTAGCTTCTTCTTCTTTAGCATTCTTAGCTTCTTCTTCTTTAGCATTCTTAGCTTCTTCTTCTTTAGCATTCTTAGCTTCTTCTTCTTTAGCATTCTTAGCTTCTTCTTCTTTAGCATTCTTAGCTTCTTCTTCTTTAGCATCCTTAGCTTCTTTTTCTTTAGCATTCTTAGCTTCTTCTTCTTTAGCATTCTTAGCTTCTTCTTCTTTAGCCTTCTTAGCTTCTTCTTCTTTATCATTCTTAGCTTCTTCTTCTTTAGCATTCTTAGCTTCTTCTTCTTTAGCATTCTTAGCTTCTTCTTCTTTAGCATCCTTAGCTTCTTTTTCTTTAGCATTCTTAGCTTCTTCTTCTTTAGCATTCTTAGCTTCTTCTTCTTTAGCATTGTTTGCTTCTTCAACCTTCTTAGCTTCTTCATCAGTATATTTTTTTTATTTTTATTATAAAATTTACTCAATTTCATCAATAGCTTTTTCAATATCACCATAAATATTCTAGGCTTCTTATGAGGCATCTCTAAGTTTTTAAGAAGTTTTAATCTCATTTAGAATAAGTTAGTTAATATCTTCGATATAGTTTTAAGTACTTTTAATATCTTCATTTAATTATTCCTTTTTATCATCACTATCTGCATTATTTAAAGCTTCTTATAAATCATTCATCGTTTAAGTTAAATATGAACGATTTACTTAATTACTTGCAATATTTTTATTTAATTCTTTATCAGCAACTTTAGCAATATCAACAGCATCTTGAGCTTTTTCTTTAACATATAAAATTATATTATAAACTTCTATAGCTTCCTATAAACTCTTAGCATTAAAAGCAGCAATATGCAAATTTGAAACAGTGTCTTAGATAGATTAAAGGTCTTTCAAAGCTTGATCAGATTGTTTTTCCAAATAATCATATTATTCAGATTGAGCAAAAATTGTTGCTAAGAGAAGGGCTTAAATTAAAAGAACAAATAATTTTTTATTCATTTTTATTAGATTAGTTACTTTTTTTTTATTAGTTTTTTTTATTTATTAATTTAATTATTATATTTTAGAGATTTAAAAATGACTTTTTGAAACAAATAAGGAGTTAAATTAATTATAATTATTAGATATAATTGTGATATGAAAAGTACTAAACTAAATAAATAAATAAATAAACAAACAAACGATTTCTTTTATTTTTATCACTTGATAATAGGTTCTTGGTTAATCAAATGTAATTAATTATTTGATGGAAAATAAATAGAAGAATTTTTCATTATAATAGATAGAACTAATGAATGAATATTTTTAATTAATTTAAGATTCAAGAAAAATGAATGATTATTAAAGTAAATTTAGACATTTATTTTTATATGAAAATCTTTCATTAAATGTATAATAATAACTATGTTTAATACAAATAAAGAGTAAATAATAAATAATTTTACTTATAAATATTGAAGATAATTAATTTACTGTTTAAAAAATTAGGATTAAAACATTTTGTTGGCATTGAATACTTATTTTTTCCATTTAAATTTAAATATTTTGGATTTTAAAAAGAATAAAATAAAAGTTATTTTGTTTTTATGGTAATAGTAAAGTACTTCTAGTAGTTAACACATTATAATTAAACAGATTATTTTTATTTTATTTAGAGAGATTAGGTTCATAATAATTTTAGATACATTGATTAAATTTAGTCTATTGAGAATTATAAAACAAAGAAAAAAATAGAATGTTTCTAATAATTTATAAAGTTAATGGTAAAAGGTTTGTTTTAGATAGAATATAGAGGATTGATTAATACCAATATGAAAAAATATACCTTCTTTAAATATGCTTAGACTAGTTATTATTACTATTTAAAATTTTAATTTAAAGTAAATATCTAGTGTGTTGCTGAAAATATTTTGTTAATATAAAGTAATAACGTCAAATTATATAATTATTACCATTAAAATACTTTATTTACAGTACACAACAGATAAAAATGCTATTATTTTTTAAAAATGTGTTAATTAATTTTTTCTACTCTTTGTAAACAACTAATTTCATAAAAATAATCCTTCAACTGTTTTGTTTTTAAATTAGTTTAAATAATATTTAATATGACGCAAACAACTAAAAAAACTTCTAATTATCTAAAATACTAATTTAAGGATGATTAGGTATGATTTTAGTAATTAAAATTGAAAGTAATTAAATATTACTAATTATGAAGGTTTGATACATTATCAATATTAATTTTCAAAATATAAAATGGTTCTAGAGCATAACGCAAGGTCTTTAATATGATGCAAACAACTAGTAATTAAAATTGAAAGTAATTAAATTCGTTTTTATTAAAATTTTAATACGCATTAATTAATTAATCAAAAGAAGTATGAACATATAAATATTGTAAAAATTGTTCTAGCATTCTGTTTTATGAGATTGATAAAAGTTAATTCATTTTTATCATTAAATAAAACAATTTCAGTTGATTAATTTATTGCAATTATTATAATTTTTAGAAATTATAATAATGATTTTTAAATATTTTATAAAATATTTTATTGTTATTTCTTTTGCAAATATGTAACAAAATATAAATTTTCCTCATAATATATATATATATATTGTTATTTTATTTTATTCTCAAAATATTAATAATTCTATGAGTTATTCTTCAGTTCTGATAAGTCTAACAATATATCTCATGCTTATTAGATGTTTATATCATCGTTCCATGAAGAGGTATGGTATTTAAAAATCAAAAATATTTATTTTTTGAAAATTAGTAATGAGTGAATGAATGAAGATTAGATAAAATTTTTTAAAATCGCAGAACATGCGAACGAGGATGTATGTCAATATGAAGTATTTATTTAGTTTAATTAAATATGTCTATATTACTTTTATGAATTTTATTTATTAAAGTAAATACTTAGAGTATATCTGAAAAATCTTTAAAGATCTCAATTTACAAATCAAAAAAATACTTTGCCTATTTATATTAAAATGCACCTCTAATTAATTACTTAAGATACTTTGGTTGATTAAATTACTTTTTAATTAATTTTTTCAGTTTTTTAGAAAAGTAAGTAACATAGATATATTCATGAAAATAATCTTAAACTAAAGCATTCATTCTCTCAATTTTTTTCCTTTATTTTTATTTTAATTAATTTAATTATAGCAAAAGTACAGCTTAACTTCTTTAATTTTATAAACAAAATCCTTAATCGGCAAATAAGAATTTAAAAGATTTCGAAATTAAAAAAAATACTTACAGAGCGATTTTAATAAATGAATGGGATGGATAAGATACAAAAAAATTGGAAGATTTTAATTGATTTTTCTTAAGATCTTAATATAAATTAATTATTTTGAAGAGCAAAAGCAAACATATTGTATAAATGTTCACCACTATTTAAATTATGTCTATAAAAATTAATTCATTTTTAATAATGAAGCATTTTCAATTTATTTTTATCCTTAAAAATATTTTTGATTTTTGTAATTTAACGCTATAAAATTAATAATATGTAACTTTAATAAAATTTCCTGTCTACTGGAGTCAATGAGGAGACTCGTTTATTAAAAGAAGTTTATATCTTAGATTTTGCTCAAGTTGAAATGTTAAATAATTGAAAAAATTCGAGTCAAAAATTTTTAGGTTTGACTCTATATCATTTATATAGTAATTTTCTGACTAGTTCAAACCCTAAAAATACAATTAAAATTTAAAATCTTTACTTTTTATTTGAGTAATTGTTTGTAATATCTTTGAATATTACTTAATAAATTAACCGATAATTCTAACATTATTAATTAAAAAATTTTCGAATGCTACTTTGATCATTTTTATTAATAAATAGTTCTAGAATATAAAGCAAGGACGGTAATTAACAATAACGAAATCTGTTTATGAATATATTTGCTTTTATTATTATGAAAATCGAAAGAAATAAAATACATATTTTGTATATTTTAAAATATATATTTTTTTTTTATTTGGAATATTTGAATTTTGATTGTTACTAGTAAAGTACTTTGCTAATTACATACTAAAAATAAAAACAAGCTAATTTATTGCAATATATTTTAATTAATTTTAGCTACTTACTTTGCTTGGTGACAATATTTATCACATAAAAATCTTCTCGTTACATTTCTTTAAAAGTAGCTAACTAGCTAACTAATTTGAGCCTTATGTCTTAGCTTTTTAATTTTATATATTATATGAGTGAAGTGAAGGATAAAAATAAGTTAGATTTGATAAAATTTAGATACCAAAAGTTAAACATTTTGAAATCAAAATTAAGGAAAATAATTAAGATATAGGGGAAAAAAAATTCATTATTAGTATAAAAATTATTTGAAATATTACAAATCATGATATCATGGTCTGTGATATTTCAAATGTAGGAACAGCTATTTTCTTTTTCAAATATATTTTATTTTGCCTAATTATTATTATTATTGATTTTTAATTTATTGATGCAATTATTTTGAGCAAGCAAATTGACAATCAAATAAACAAACAAGTAGTAAATTAATTTAATTTAATTTACTAATTTTTTGATTATCTCCCTAATTTCCCTAATTGGTCAGTTTAATTGCGTCTACTTTTAGTCAATTTAAATTAAATACATTTCCTTTTGTAGTTTATAATAAATAAATAAATAAATAAATAAATAATTTATTAATTAAATTAATCTTAATCCATTAAAAAATGATGGAATAAAAAACCACAAAGATCTATAATTTTTAAGATGTATTACAAAATTTATATATTAATATATTTTATTTTTACTTTTTTTTATATTAAAGTTTAGAAAATGTAGGAAATCAAAGCAAATAGATCTTAAAATTATCCCGTAATATTATATTATTTTTATTTCTATTTATCTTTTAATTTAATATTGGTTATACTTGATATTACTATCATTTATTTTTATTTTTTGTTTATATTATTAAATTTCAATTACCATTTATTTTAGCTATTTATCAAATTTTTCTTCTTCTTGTTTATCTACTTCTCCTAGTTTTTTTCTTTAAAGTCATATTATTTCTAAATGTCAAAGTAATAATTCCATTAATAGCAATGATGCATAAAAATTGGTTTCTGGTCTAGCACACTGCACTAATCTCAAATCTTTGGTCCTTAATCTCATGTAAAAATAGCTTATTTTATTTTTTTTGAATTTAAATAATCAAATAATTAACAATAAAATATGTAAAATTTATTTTAAATTTGATTCTTAAATTTTCTCTTATTTTTTCATCTTTTAACTTACCTTTTATTTATTTATTTATTTGTTTTTTTATCTTTTTTATATTTCTTCTAGAAAAATATATGAATTTTATCTAAAAATTATTCTTAATAATAATGATAATACTACATTAAAAAAAAATTAAAGCACGTTTATCTAATATTAAAAGGAATAATCGAATTGAATCGTATTATGCATCATACTTAGGTTCTAGCTTAGCTCACTGTACTAATCTAACAACTTTGGAACTTAATTTGATGTAAATATTGTTTATTTAATTTATTAACATTTTGTTTTATTTTTTTAATTTGGAAAGTTAAAATATAAAATAATATGAGTTAGAAAATATTAAGATATTTATAAAATTGCTTTTTTCTATGAATTTTTTATTTAAGTTATTTATTACTGCTCAGTATTTATATTTTTTATTTAATTTCATTCTAATAATCAATTTTTTCTTATTTTTATATTTTCTATTAAATATTTCTTTTAGATCTTCTTCTTTTGGGAATAAAGGTCTTATAAGCTTAAGTTCTGGTTTAGCTCATTGCACTAATCTTACAACTTTTATAATTAAAATCGGGTAAAAATATTTTTTTTAATTCATTAAAATTGTGTGCTATTTTTTTTTTTAAATTATTATTTTATATTAAAAACTTAGTAATTTTAATGGATTTGTTTTTTTATTAAATATTCTTCATTTTCGATTTAAAATTTTTTTTTATTTATTTTTAACTTTTTTGTATTTCCATTTAAGTAAATAAATTAAAAGCTTTTTATTTATTTTGATATGTTATACCAAAATTTTTTCATAATCAATATCATATTTTTTTATTTAATATTAAAGATCCTCTGAAATCAATGTAGAAAGTGCTTCAAGCTTGGGTTCTAGTTTAAGTTGCTGGAATAATCTCACAATTTTTGAACTTGACCTTTTGTAAAATAATTTACTTAATTTATCAGAAACTTTGTTTGAATTTTATTTGAAAATCAATAAAATTTAAAATTAATTAATTAGATTGGAAATATGCAAATGACTTATACCTTTATTTTTATTCTTAATAATAATGTTAAAAATTATATTTACTTCCTTTTTATCAGATAAAAACAGTTTTTTTGAATAAAATTTTTAATATACTCTTACTATTTTAATTATTTTTTTTAGTAATTTAATTCTTAATTTACTTTTTCAAATTAATTTAAATTTTTTCTATATTTTTTTATTTTGTATATTTCTATAAATTATTTTCATATTAACCTAAATATATTTTTCAAAATATTTCTAAAGTTGTAATTCAATTAGTGATGAAGGTACATCAAATTTGTGTTTAGGTTTATCTAAATGCACTAAACTTACTACTCTGGTACTTGACCTTTCGTAAAATTAATTACTGTTTTTATAAACATCTTTTGTTATTTTTAATTTTGAAAATAATAATTATAAATTATTATTATCATTCAATATTTGTATTAATTATTAATTAATTTTTTTATGAGTTAGCTTTCTCTCAATTTTTTCTTTAAATAAAAATATTATCCAGCATATTATTTAACATTTATTTCTAATTATAAAAAGATAAAATAAAATTAGTGATTTAGGAGCATCGAGCTTGGGTACTGCTTTATCTAAGTGCACTAAAATAACAAATTTGATTTTAAATTTATCGTAAAAATTATTGTTTTTTTTTATTTATAATTTTTAAAGTTGTTTATTTATTTTCTATATTAATTTATTTTATTGCATGTTTAGACTCAATTACTTGATAATTTATATATTTTTTAGCTTTAGATGTCTGTTTTATATAATCAATATCTTCTTTTTTTATTTTCTTTTAAAGCTTTACATTTTAATTTTTAATACTATTCTAAATTTTCAAAGCGATAATTCAATTCATTCAGAAGGAGGAATTTGCTTGAGTTCTGGTTTAGCTCACTGCACAGATCTCATAAATTTTACACTTAATCTTCGGTAGAAATTTTCATTTTAAACTAAGAAAGTGAATAAAAATTATTTTTTTGACAATTTTGGCAGAGAAATAATACAAATTTAAAACCCTGATAATAGTGCTTATATATTAATTAATTTGTTATATTTATTTTTTTTTTCACTTTTAAATAGTAAATTATTAGTTTTTTAGTAACCATATTTTTTAATAATTCCATAAGCTCTTTCAATATTAACTTATATATTTTTAAATATTAGAAGGTAAAATTCAATTGGTTAATAAGGAGAATCAAGTCTTGGTTCTGCTTTATCTCAGTGCACTAAATTAAGAACTTTGACACTCAATCTAGAGTAAAAATAGTTTATAAATTGATTCATTTTTTTTTATCATAAAAACAATCAAGTAATTCTTAAATAATGCAATTTATTTATAAAATTAGTTTTTCTTAAAAAATTAATAACTGTAGATGAATTAATTAATTATATATATTTAGTTATTTTATTCTTTTTTTATAGACTTTTAACTTTAAATTTTTTATTGAAGTCAATTCCAGACATTATATATATTTTTTTTTCACTCTATCCAACTTTTTTCATTATAAATTAAATATTTAAAAAGAGATAATAAAATTGGTATAGAAGGTGGATCAAGCATATACTCTATTTTAGCTCACTGTACTAATCTCACAAGTTTAATAATTAACCTTAAGTAAAAATAGTTAAATGAATTTATTATTAATTAGTGTAATTTAAATTTTAATAAAAATAATAAGAAAACATGAAAAAATGCAAATAACACTATTTTTTGTTTCTTTTCTTTAAGCATTTAATATTTTTTATTACTTGTTTATCCTAAGTGGTTTCATTTTAATTTTGTTACCTTTTCATTTTATTCTTTTTTTAATTTTTATTCGTGCTCTTCTTTTTATAAATTTCTCATTACTCTCAAAAATTTTCTAAATATTAAAAGCGATAATTAAATTGGTGCATAATTCACATAAAGCTTAGATTTTTGTTAACAGAAATTATCTAATCTCTAAACTTTGAAACTTCATCTCTAGTAAAGATAGTTTATTTGAATTTATTTTTTATTTTGAATAAAGTAAAATGATAATTGAATTGATTAAAAATTAAACAAACATTCAAAATATTAATAAACACTCACTCTCTTTTTTTCCACCGACCTTTCTTTTTTAATATTAAATATCTTCTAAATAATAAAAGTAAAAATTAAATTAATGGAAAAGGCGCATCAATTCTAGCTTCTCATTTAGCTTGCTGCACTAACCTCACAATTTTGAAACTTGACCTCAGGTAAAAATAAATAGTTTATTTAAATTTATTAGCTAATTTTACTATTTATTTTTTAATTTAGAAAAATATTAATCCATGCATTGATTAATAATATGACATGAATTCAAAATATATATGATTTTGATTATTTTCGTTTAAATTTCAATACTATTTATTGATTATTTATTACTTTGCTGTTTCATAATTTATTTACTTACTTTCTTTTCTGATTTAAATTTCCATTTTAATTAATTGATTAGCTAATTAGTAAGTAGTACATTTTTTAGCAAATATTTATCAACTACTTTCATTTTAAATAAATCATTTTTTCTATAAATTAAAGTTATAATGAAATTAATGAAAATGGTTTAAAAAGCTTGGCTTCTAGTTTAGCTTACTTCACTAATCTTAAAATTCTGGAACTTAACCTCATGCACAAGTAATTTATTTTAATTTATTAGCAATTTATGTTATTGTTTAATCTGAAAAAGTAATTAAATAAGAAAGGAATTTATTAGTAAGTAAGTGTATAGAACTTTTTATCTATATTTTCTTTAAATATTCAGCATTATAATTTGTTGTTTGTCTTTTCATTATTTATTAATTTATCTTGGTTTATTTATATATATTTTTTTAGCATTAAAGTTCTTGAAAATGAAGAAGGTTTGTTAAGTTTGAATTCTAGTTTAGCTTACTGCACTAATATCTCAACTTTGATGCTTAACCTCTCGTAATAATTTATTATTTAATTTTATTAGCATTTTTTATTGTTTTTAATTTGCAAATGCAGATAATCAAAAATAAATAAATAAATAAATAAATAAATAAATAAATAAATAAGATAGATATGTTTATAACTAGTGATAATTTTAGGAAAAAAAATTGTTTAGGTTTAAATCTTTGATTAAAAATTTTTTATTTTTTTTGTTAGTTCAGGTTCGAAACCTCTTTCGATATATACCTTTTTTTATTATTTTAAATATACATTAAATTTTTTAAATAATATTTATTATTCTATTAAATATTTATTTCCTACTACAGAAATAATTATCAGAGAATAGCAATATAAATTACCAATATTTAATAATTTATTTATTTTTCATAATAAATTTTAGCTAATTATATAATTATCTATAAACTTTTTATTACCTTTTTTTATATTTCTCCTGTATCATATTTTATCATATAATTTTTTAAATATAAAAAGCTTTGCTAGATTTTGTCTTTAAGACGTAAAAAATTTGTGTTGTGCGTTAGTTCAGTGTACTTAACTCTAAAATTTGAAACTTAATCTTTGGTAAAATTAATTTATTTGAATTTCTTAACATTTTATGTTATTTTTTAAATTATTTTAAAAGAAAGTAAATTCTAACCTATTTATACTTTATTTTATTTTTTCATTTAATTTAAAATTTCTATTTCCATAATTTAGTTTTTAAGTTATTCTTTTATACACTTTGCTTGCATCAACCTTATAAATAAATCATATAATTTTCTAATAGTTTATCTAATTTTGATCATTAAGATACTTAAAATTTGAGTTCTGCTTTAGCTCAGTGTAATAAACTCTAAAATTTAGAACTAAGTTTCTAGTAAAAATTATTTATTTGAATTAGTTAACATTTTGCATTATTTATTTTTTAACCTATTTTGAAAATATCAAAATATTTATTTCCGTCAATCTATCTATCTATGTATCATTATTTTTTCACTACATATGTTAATTTATTTTCAACTAATTGATTGTTTCTTTTTTAATTTTTACTTTTAATTTATAATTTTATTTAAATTAAATTAAACTTTTTCTTTTTATTTATCCAAACTTTTCATAAGACTCACATATTTCTATTAATTATTAAAGTGATTTAAACATTTAAGATTAAGGTGTACAAAATTTGAGTACTGGTTTAGCTCAATGCACTAATCTCTAGACTTTCACAATTGATTTAGGGTAAAATAGTTTATTTGAATTTATTATATTTTGCGAAAGCTATACTAATGATATCGATATATTAACTAATTATTTCAAAAAAAATACAATTATTTTGACTACCTTTTAGACATCTTTTTACATTAATTGTTTATTTATGAATAACTATTTCACATTATTTATTTTTCAAATTTTAAACTTCAGTTTATTTTATTTAATTATCAACTTTTATCTTTTCATAAAATTCTACTTAAATTTATAATTTCGACTCTCATATTTTATTTAAATACTAAAAGTTATAATTTAATACATCATTAAGGTATATCAAGCTTAAGCTCAGCTTTACTTTAGTGCAATAAACTGAGAGCTTTGAATCTTAACATGAAGTAAAAATAATAAATTTAAAATTATAAATATTTTATGCATCTTATCAAATTTGGAATAGAAATAAAAATTTAGATGATAAGAAAGTTAGAAAATATGATAAATGCTTATATAATTTACTTATGTTCTTATTAAATTAGTTATCCATAATATGTTTTTATATTCAAATATTTTATTCCTTAATTTTTTCATTTTTAATTTTAAATTTCTATTTAATTTTGATATCAATTTTTTTTTTCTTTTAAACTTTTAAAACAAATTATCCTTGCATTTTTTATCCCATCTAAAATTTTTTCTTACTGTTAATAGTGTAGAAGAATCAAGCATAGCTACTAACTTAGCTATTTGCTTAGCTAACTTGGTCAATCTCTCATTTTTGAAACTTTACCTTTAGTAAATTTTAATTTTTTTGAAATTAAGTTCAATATATATACAGAATAGTGCCCTTGAGCTCAGTAAAAAAAAAAATATATTTTCATCTCTCAGTCCCAACATACTACATAAATCTTGGGATAATAATTAACTCAGCTCACTGACCTCAGAGTTTTATTACTTCCTATGTAAAAATACATAGCTTTAATTTATTTAAATTTTTCATATTTTTTAATTTAGAAAAGTAAGTAATAAAATGATAAATGATTTTATTAGTAAAAACATGTAAAAATAATTCTGCTTGTTTCTTGCTAGATTTATTGTTTTTAATAGTTTATTTATTTGATGAATTTATTTTCAATTTTTATTTTTTTCAATTTTAAATTTCAACTTAATTTGTTGATTAATGATCAACTTACTTTTCTTCTTTTTGAAATATAATTATTTTATTAACTCACAATGTTCTATAAAAAAAGTAACCTTAGTTTATCTGGAGAATAATATCTTAAAGCAAAAATTAATAAAATGAAGAGACTGGTGATCAATATTTTTTGAGATAAAAAAAATATATTTATTTTTAAATTTATAATTTTAATTTATGTTTTTAGTTGAGTTTAAATCTATTTAATAAAAAATTTAACATTTTTATCAAAAACAAAAAAAATATTGATTAATCTGGTTTATTTTTATCTCAATCAGTTAAATAAAATAATGTAAGCAACATTACTTTCTATAGCTATTATCAAATAATTTTTTTTCTGAGTAAGATATATATTTAGTTTTCCAATAAATATTATTTAAAACTTTAAAAAAATAAATCTCTAACTAACTGCAAGATATTAAATTTGTAGAATGTTTCATTACAGTTTTAATAAGTTTAATCACAAAGCAAATAAATGATTCCACTTTAAATAAAATAAAGCTTATTCAATAAAAAATAAGTAAAAATTATTTAAGCAAAAAAATTTTCTAAATAAATGTATAAACATCTTCCATTCAGATTATACACAAACTGCTTACTTTATTTATTTATTAATTAATTTAATTAAAGATGAAATACTTAGATTTAGATATTTATAATTTAACTTTCTATAATAATTTATTCAAAAAATAATTTTTTTAATTTTTGATGATTTATCTATGTATTAACAATGTTAATAAATATTCTTTGTTAGTAAATTAACAATTAATAATACTAAAAATGATTCGTTTATTTATATATTTATTTTTTACCATCGACTGTAAAAATCTACTTTCTAATGAATTTACTTATTTATACTAAAAAATTTGGATAGCTATTTTAAAGTAAAGAATTTATAAAAAAGGCATAAATATATTCAACCTTTATTTCATTTAATAAGTATTCCAAAATCTTCAAAGTATTTTTTCTTTGAATTGATCTAAATTGATTTAATTAATTGCACAATTAATATCTTAATAAAGTTAGTAAGTAATACATATAAAATGAGTTAATAAAATAGCTAAAAAGTTATCCATCTAAAAACAAAAATTGCATTTTAATTCATAGTATGGAGCTTGGTTAATACAGCCAAAGCACAAATTAGACAGTGCCCATAAATAGAATCTTATCACAGTAAAGAAATTTGGATAAAAGTTTTTTATTTTAGGTTAATACTTTAATAATCATAATAGATTTACTGGATAACACATACTCAAATTATGCTCCTTAGCAAGTCTTATAAATTCCTAAAACAAATATATTACTTGTCAGCACAGTAAACATAAATGATTATGTGGAGAGCATAATATATTTTCTTGATTTAGATACAGATTAAAAAAATGTTAAAACATTTGTGAAGCGTAACTATGTTTGTTTAATAGTGTGAAAATGAATTTTTAATTTGTTTAAAAATAGCTGAATTTAGCGTACAAACAATGGATTACATAAGTTACTCTAATAAGATTGTTGCTGTTAATTATAACCAGGTGATAGTCGCTAACCCTAAAACTTTTAAATCTGAATCAAAGTTAGGAATTTCTGATTTAGTGTTTGCTAATGTTATATCAAATACATAGTATATAATCTTAACATAATAAGAAAATTAACTTTTTGTTTTTGATAGTGAAAATAATTACATAGTATCATCATTAGATTATAAGATTAATGATACTAGCTACTAAAAATAGCGTTTTTTTTACTCAAATATATATAAATTTAAATGTTAAAATGATTTGATCATTATAACTGGGTCAACAATAGGTTTGTTTGCAACAAGTATTGATAGTAATTCTTTAGTTCTTAGGTCTCATGGAATTATAGACAAAAGTATAACATTTTAATATAATTAATTGCATATGAGTAATTTAACATTTTGTAACAAAAGCTTAGACAAATTACCTAAATAATTGCAGACCATATTATAAGCATCCCGATGAAGATATTTTATTTACTGGTGGATATAACTATTAGGTGTAAGCAATAAAAATAAAATCTTTTAATGAATCTTCTTATATTTAGATGATGGACATTAGTATTTTTTTATTTAAAATACAAATGATTTATTTAACATTTTAATTAAAATAGATCTTTTTAATGGATAATCTGGTCTGTATTTATTAAATATAGTTTATGTTTCTGTGTCAAATTAATCATTTTTGTTGATTTCAACTAACGTGTTGCTATTCTAGTTAAAAATTTAAATAGATTTGTTAAATAATAAAGTTATTCCACTTAATAACTTATAGCCAACATAGTTTAACATTGATTCTCAAATGGCATTTTATCCTTTATAGAATAAAACAGAAATTATAATATGTAGCAGTTACAATATTACAATTTTTAACTATTAAACTAACTAAATAAATTTTAGATTAGGTAAATTATCATTAAATCCTACTTTTTTTAAGATTAAATTTAAATAAAAAAGGTTTCTATTCTGATTTTCAATCAAGAAATTTTATATATGAAACTAAAGACTAACAATTAATTGCTGCTATAACTAACAATACTATGTCTTATTCCAAAAAATAGGCAATTCAAGACACTTATAAAGTATAAAATAAGAAATTTTCTTATAACATTTACTAAGACTTTAATAGTGTGTATAAAGTTAAAAATTGTGACACATGTATTTTAGCTGAGCTTAGAGATAAAAAAAATAATGACTATATTTCTACTTCTCTAATCTACCCAATAGAGACTTTAGATAAAGTATTTATTTATTTATTTATTTATTTATTTATTTTTATTATGATTTAATTTATTTTTAATTTTTAATTAGCCCTAACCTATAGTTACAAAATAATTTTCATTCAGCTGGGATAAAGTAGGAGATACACTTGATCCCTTTTTTTATGGTGGTAAAATTTGGGTAGTTTTATCATTTCATAATAAATAGTAATTTAATTTTGCTATAAATGGATTATTTTATTTGATTAATGCTTAAAACACCACTGAGTTTTATATTTTAAAATCCTCAAATTCAACAGATAATCAATAAAATACACAATTTGCTATAGCCTCTCTTTTTGATACGAGCAATCCTGAAATTATAGGAGTTGATTGCTAAGGAAAAATGTATATTTGGAGTCTATAGTCTAATTACAACTTGAAGCAATCATTTTAACTATGTAAAATTTTCAATTTTTTTAGTGAATTTGAATTATTTCTTTTAACTAAAAAACTTTAATATTAAAAAATTAATCTTTATTTAAATAAAAAAAAAGAAAATTGTGTAAATTCATATATCGGAGAAATCTTCTAAAATGAATAAACAAAAAAATTAATCATAGTTTGCCAGGGATATCTGCTTTATAGCTTTGATTTTATTACTAAAGAAATGCAATTTTTAATTAAATTGTCTTCAGCACCATTGGTAATAAGGTCTTTCGCAAACATTTCCTTAATAGCTGTACCAGATTTCAAAGCAGGAATAGCATACCTATTCAAATATAATTCTATTTCTAATAATTTTGATTTAATTTTATAAATATCAAGTGGTTAAATTGTGGAATATTTAATTTACATTGAATTACTTTAAGATAATACGCTATGGCTCTAATTCCAATTTAGTTATATCTTTTACAACCTACAAAGCTGCTTAAATGATGTTTCAATATGTACTTAATGTACAAATTATTATTATTTTAATATAACTAATGCTCAAGATTAAAATGGATTCTATGGCTAAGGAAATTAGATTTCACCTTTCACAACATCTCAAAGCTTTTTTTAATCTGCAATTACTGTAAAAAATTAATTTTATAACATCAATTAATAAATAAATAAATACCTTAAATCCTCATAAATTCTCAACAGTATAAATTTTCATCATATTTTCTGAATATTTTTTAAATGATCACCATTAAGAACTCTATGAGTTTGGGGAGTATGGTGAGAATTAATGAGGATTGATGGTAATTTGATTTTTTTTTAATTAAGATCTCCAAAAATAATAATTTAATAAAGAAAGCAAACAAAAAACTACATTTTTAACATTTTTTTTAATAGGTTTAGAATTATTTGGATATTATGCAAAAAGTTAAAAATATTGAAATGCGAATTATTGTAAGCCCTGAAAATATTATGGAACTAAATTATGAACTGATAAATATTGATTTTTAATCGGTAATTTCTTTGTCTCTAATAAGCAGCTCTGATAGTCAACTAGCAAAAATTCTATATAATAATTAATTAATGTTTACTAATTACAACTAAATCTATTTTTAAAATATCGAGATAAACTTTTTAATAAATTCATCTTCATAGTGTGGATTATACTTTTCTAACATACAAAATTCTATTACTGTTAGCAATATATAGCTAGTCTCGCCTAATAATTTAAGTATAAATTGCTAATAGATAATTGTAGATAATAGCTATCTTCAAATATTAAACTATACTCTAATAAATTAAGATTTTACTAACAGTACATTTTTTATTTCAACTTTAAATACCCAAAAAGTAAATAAAGTTATTAATTATTTAATAATTTGTTATTAAATATTTTATTTAATTTTTAAAGGTGAGCATCTAAAATTTGACTGTCATAAACTGTACTTTAGGAAGTTAGTTTTAGATTTTTGTATAAAATACTGATGTGTAAATATAAGCACAAAATGTTTAATTGTTATCAAATAAATGCTCGCCAAGTGATAATTTAAATAACTTACCTTTATTCACTGCTGGTCATTTCTCAGTGTAATCTTTACAGATTAAAAATAATAATTTTTGCAATAAAAATATCTTCTAAACAATAATTTCTTATCTCCATCCAAATCAGACTTTCACATTTGTTGACATTGAAGTATCAAATAACTAGTTTTTCTCTGATATAACTTATTTACTTTTCGACTCTCTATATTCGATACTAACAAGTCCTAATCACATTCTAAATATTTAAAAAGCTAATTTCTATAATAATACTGTAAATTCAGATTAAAATATTTCAGGATTTTCCTTTTTCTAAACAGATAAGATTTAAAATATATTTATGTAAGACATTAACATAATTAACCATAGCAATATATTTTTGGGAACTTTTTAATATGCAGACATGATAAGTGTTTTGAGTTTCAACTGTTCAAATGAAATTAGATATTCAATGAATGAGTAAAATATCACTACTTAAGGCTGTTTGCAAATGAAAGAAGTATAGAACATAAACATTAACTACATATATTTTGATAACAAAAAAGCAATAGATAATTCTTTATTAATTATAGATAATAAGATAATAAAACAGAGTACAGTAAATATAGTAAATGGCTATTTCACTAATTTATTGCTAATATAAACATAAAAAAATACATTTGCTAACCCAATTCAAATCGAAAATAGTTATGAAGTTGATTTATTTCTAAACAACACAAAATTTTAAAATAATAAATTAATTTCAATTCCTTACACTTTAACTTATTCTACTACCGGATTGTGGATATAAAATTTTATAGGTTAAGTGATTATTTTTAATAGCTCATTTACAAATAGCTCAAGCAATTCTAAATATAATAATGTATTTGTCTAAAGTAATAGGCTTCAAATAATATCTAGTAATTTGACTTAATCTTCCTTTGCTGATTATAACTTAATCTAAAACTCAAAAGATTCCATATTAAATTAATTCGGTGGTATGGTTTATGCTACAGTTAATTTACTTTAAATTTAAAATTGTTAATTCAATTAATCTACAGCATCAAAGGGATCTTTCTTGTACGTCCAATCCTTTGGTGCTGAAATCAACATTCAGATAAATCAAACTCAGTTTAATGAAGGCTACAGTTTTGTAGATGGCAGTGCTATTTTTATTGATAATTTGGGAAATTAACTCAATCTGACTTGCTCTGAATGCTCTTTTGAAAATCTTTTTGCCTTTAATCCATATTCATCACATGTTGGAATTCAGTAAAATATTTATAAAAAATTTTTCTTTTTTTTAAAATAATTTTTATAATTATATTTAAAGGAGTTACTAATTGAATCAAATAAAGCCATCTTCGTTGATGTTTGTTGGAGGAAATATATAAAATTTTAAAGGTGTTAAGCAAAGTTATTTTTTAAATGCATAACTTGCGAATGTAAATTTTGAAAATATAACATAAATAACTTCATAAGAGTTTGTTTCAAATTCTATTCCATTTATCCTTTATAGTAAAGAAACAAATTAAGAATAAAGCACTTTATTAAATTTGGTTAATTCATAAGTTGATATAGAAAACACAAATATTATTAATTTATAAATATAAAGTTAGTAGCAAAACAATAACAAATTAATTTTATCATAAAACTCTACAATTTAAATAAAAAACTCTTCAATAATAAAATGCAATTTCTCTTAGAGTCTAGTCTCCTTATTAGGAGGATAACTTATTTTAGATAATACAATATTTAGTAACATCAATTTGATCTCTGATGCAAGAATTTTGGAAAATATTTAAAGTGTTCAGTAGAGTTATGCAAATAGCTATTCATTAATTGTTGCTAATAATTCATCAATTTAGGTGTTAAATAAATCTTTGTTTTCTTAAATAAATTGTAAATTATGCAATGGAGGAGTTTTCTAAATATCAGGAAGTACTATCAATATTTAAAGCTCGTTTTTTAATTAAACAAGTGTAATTTTAAATTCTTTTCAAAAATAAAAATCATTTCATATTAATTAAAAAAGGGTTATTTTGGAGGAGCTTTATTCATCATTAATATGCTTGGAGTTAATTAAATTTAAAATACCATTTTTAAAAATTGCTAATCTTAATTTGATGGAGGAGCTTTGTACATCTTGTCTCAATTTCAAAATGTAACATTTTTATTTTATTTAAAATGTTTAATATTATTTTTTTTAAATAGAATTTTAATTTAGCAATATAATAAACTTAATTCTAAGAAAATTAATCTATTAATGGTAAAGGTGGAGCCATTTTTATATCCTCAAATATCCTAAACCCCAAAAATACTTATTCAAATATATTAAATTCGAACTTTATCAATAACAAGGCTTAAATAGGTGGTGGCTTTTATTTCTAAAATATTTCTTCAGTATTATAGAATAATCAGTTTGAAAATAATATTGGATTTGTATACGGAAATGATTTTTTTTCCTACCCAACTAAACTTAGCCTATTAAATTCATAAAGTTTTACAGGTGAGAATGTAACAAAATTAAATGAAAATTTTTTAGAAATTGCTAATTTTAGAAGTGGAGATAGCTTAAATGGTATACAGTTCCATTTGATAAATGACTAATATTAAAGTATTTTTCCTGTTTCAGTTTAAGAATTTGAAACATTTAATGTTTAAGTTAAAATAGAACCAAACACATTAAATGCTTAAAATTATTAGCTTAGAGGAGACCAGTATGCCTATTTTGATAATAATTTAAAAGTTTTTAACTTTGACTAACTTACAATTGTAGGAGTTCCAGGCTCATCTTTAATCATCTAATTCTTTTCCAATCAAATATACAATTTAGATATACAAACAAATTAACTTATTTAAAATTACACTTTTGACATCAAAATCAATTTCCGTTAATGTAAATCCGGAGAGTAAACAAAACAGTATCTTACCTTTATTGAATGTGATATTTGTTAGCCAGGATTTTATTCTTTTGATTCATAGCAATGCTAAATCTGCCCATAAGGGGGAAATTGCTTGGGAAGCGATTAAATTATTGTAAATTAAGGATATTGGAGAAAATCTGAATAAACTGCCCTAATAATTCCTTGTTCAAACCAAGATTCTAATTGCATAGGAGGTAGCTATGCAAACAATATTTGTTATAAAGGACATATTGGAGCACTATGTGAGGAGTGTGATGTAATATTTTAATGATTTATTGATTGACTAATTTATTTATTTATTGACGATTGATTGATTTGTTTATTATTAACAAATTGATTGATTTACTTATTAAACTACTCTTAAAATGATTGATTGTTATATTTTATAATAGATTGAAGGTAATTTTTGGGGTAAATCTTATTCTAAATCAGGAAAATTCTAGTGCTCAGAATGTGATAAAATGAAACACAACATAGTTATTCTTTTATTAATAATATTTTTTACTTTTATTTCTATTTAAATATCTGTATAAGGAAACTTTGTTTCTTAAAAAGAATAATTAGCAGAGATACTACTACGAAGTGCTTTTTACAAGAAACATTTAAATAAAAGCAGCTAAAGTAAAATAAAATAATCCAGTTAGTTCTTAAATACTGATTCTAGATCACACAGCAAAAAATAAAGGATAAAAAGTAGTAATACCCTTATGCTTAAATCTTAACAACCAAGTAGAAATACCACTTTATAAGAAAATACTTAGTAGAGCATTTACATTAAACTATTGACTAATTACCTTTAAATTATAAGTTCTGTTGTTTCACTCAACTTATTTGTGCCAAACGGTAAATTAGCAATATTTATAAATTAACTCAGATTTTTTTAAAATAGAAATAACAGAAATTTCATCTAGTATTGGATAGCCAATTAAACAGACAAGTAGTTCTTTGGATTGCTAGCTTATCAAAATTAATACAAAAATTCCTAGCATTTATTTCAGAGTCATTTTTGCATAGATTGTTCCTATAATCTACTTTTTGCTTTATTGCTTTATTCTAAGTGTTTTTTACAAAATTTTTAAGATCAAACAATAGTTTATTTTTACTAAAATACCAACAGCACTGATTTTTTTAATAATTTACTTCCAACCAGATGAGGTTGCTTAAATTATTTCTTTGTTATCTTGTAGAAATATAGGTGATACTAAGTATATATTGTCAAATGTTTCTTATGAATGCTACACTGATTAATATTATTACTATTCTTATAGATTACTTATACCTCTCTTAATTCTGTGGGCATTTGTCTTACCGTTGTTATTGTTTGCAATACTTTTTATAAATAAAAAATTTCTAGATGAAGTAAAAACAAAGCTAAAATTTGGTTTTTTATTCAAAGAATATAACTTACATGCTTATTATTGGGAATTTATTAAAATGATAGAAAAATTGGCTATTATACTTTTGATTAATTTATATTCTTAGGATATAGTAATAAAAGGAATTTTAGTCTTTTTAGTAATAGTAATTTATGGATTTCTTCTAATATTTATAAAACCTTATAGAGATGAACAGATTAATCTTATAGATTTCAGTTCAACATGTATTTGCGGGTTAACTACTCTACTAGTTGTCTTAGCATACTAAAATCCTTTTATGTACATGTACTACTCCTCATATATCATAATTATTTCAATAAATTTAATATTTATAATTATTATGCTGAAAAAACTATTCAACATATATTTAAAGATAATATCTAAAAAAATATTAAAATTAAGAACTATTTTCTAAACAAGGTTTACTAAAAAAAATCATAAAATAGAAACTTCAAATAATCTTAAAAAGGTGATAAATCCTTTAATCAAAAGTAAAGTTTAAAAAGCTTTTAATAGATTCTTGAGTTTTAGTGACTTTGAAAAAAAATAATTTTTCATGCGAATGCTACATCAGCAATTAAGTAATTTATTTAATTTAATTTTATTTTATAAATTTAAATATTATTTTTAGTGTTAGAATTCAATAGAGATATAAAGAAAAGCGGAAGCTTGGCATAATTTGATAGTCTTGAGGATAAAAAATTCTTAAATAACATATACTAAAGCCAATAAATAAGAAGTGATTTGGTTTTATAAAATAACTTAGATTCTATAATGAATACTGAAAGGATTATACCAAATAGCAAAAGATAACTAATATAGACCAGTGAAAATAATTAGTCTTAATGTGATTTAGATTCTTAAAATAACTAAGATTTTGTAATTAATTCCGTTAGGACTTTATAAAATAAAAAAAGACCAATTTTAAATACTCAAATAACTATTTAATCCGAATGTGATCTATACTCCTAAAATAACGAAGTTTTAGTTCTAAATACAGTAAAATCTAGATCTTAATAGAGTTTACAATATAAGAGTATTAATTAGATATAAACTATTTAAATATTATATTTAATTTATTTTCTTTTTAAAATTAGATGCAGAGTCATGATCAAATATAAAAAATTAAAAATACTTTTAATGTAAAGAAGATACTCTGATAAATTAACTAGATAATAAATATATATTAAAATAATACATTATCCCTATTTTATATTTATATCATATATGTTGATTTTTAATTAATATTAGAATACGTAAACTACCATTTAATCATTTTCTATATTAATATTTGTGCAAACTCTGCTGATTACTTACATATATCTAATCAGCGAAATTTTAAAATCAGGAACGGCGATAATTTAGTAAATAATTTTCTTGATTAGCAAAATATTAAATACATTTTTTAACAAGTAAATCAAAATTAAATATTTATTAACTTATCAATATAATGATATTCATAAATAAGAAATAATAATAATAAATTTATCTATATTATAGGTAAAATTATGTTATTAAAAAGTATTCTAACACAAAACATATAATTCAAATATTTTATATTTATTCATCATTTTTCACCACTTTCTATCATTATTACGAATTTATTTTAAAAGTAACTAATCTTTTTAATTTAAGACACTTGCCTTATATTTTCAATTATTATGACTCATTCATTTAGTTATAACTTTATTATAAATTAAAATAAATAACTAAAAAAATTAAATAGAATAAAATTTTTCAATTAAATTATCATTCCAAAACAAATAAATTTTTTACTCTAGAACAAGTTCCAAATTTTAGAGATTAGTACAATTTGCTAAAGAAGTACCTAAGCCTGGTTCACCAATCACACCAATTTAATTATAACTTTTTAAATATTGAAGAAAAAATAAATAATTAATTAGTTATTTAGAATGAAAAAAATGAAGAAAAATATGAAATAACAAGAAATGAATTAGTAAATAATAAAAGCAAAAGTTGAAAGTTAGAAAATGGGTTAAATTAGGAAAGATAGAAGAAAAATAATTCAAGTACAATAAAAAAGAAAAATAAAAATAAATCAAATAAAAACCTAACAAACAAATTACAAGAGGAAAATTCTTTTAAATTAAATTTTATAAATAAAAAATCACAATCCAAAACAAATAAATTGTTTTTACCTAAGATTAAGTGACAAATTTGAGAGATTTGTGCAATTTGTTAAAGCAGAAACTAATCCTGATGAACCTTAATCACCAATTTAGTTAGACCTTTTAAAATATTGAAGAAAAAATGTATTATTAATTATTTTTTTATAATAAAAAATTTGAAATAATAAGAGATGAATTAATAAATAATAAAAGCAAATGTTTAAAAATAAAAAATGAGTTAAGTTAAGAAAGTTAGAAGAAGAAAAAACACAAGTATAATCAAAAAAGAAAAAGAAAAATAAATTAAATAAAAAGATAATAAACAAATTAAAAGATTTTTTTTATTTTCAATTCATTTTTAAAAGTAAAAATATCATAATCCAAAACAAATAAAATGTTCTTACATAAGATTAAGAGTCAAATTTGAGAGATTAGTGATATTTGCTAAAGCGGAACCTAAGCCTGATGAACCTTAATCACCAATTTAATTAGAACTTTTAAATATTTATGAAAAAATATTTAATTAATTAATTAATTAGTTATTTATTTAGAATAAATAATTTGAAATAGTAACAAATGAATTAACAAATAATAAAAGCAAATAGTAAAAATAAAAAAATAAGTTAAAATAAGAAAGATAGAAGAAAAAAAAACACAAATAAAAACAAAAGTAAATCAAATAAAAAGCTAATAAATAAATTAAAAGAGTTATCTCGTTTTCAATTCACTTTTTTAAATGAAAAATATCACAATCCAAAACAAATATACTGATTTTACCTAAAATCAAGTGTCAATTTTGAGAGATTAGAGCAATTTGCTAAAGCAAAACCTAAGCCTGGTGCACCAATTGCACCAATTTAATTACCACTTTTTAAATATTGAAGAAAAAATATGTCATTAAATTGTTATTTAGAACGAAAAAAATGAAGAAAAAATATGAAATAATAAGAAATTAATTAATTAATAATAAAAGCAAATGTTGAATTAAAAAATGAGTTAAATTAAGAAAGATAGAAGAAGAAAAAACACAAAAATAATCAAAAAGAAAAATAAAAGTAAATAAAATAAAAGGCTAATAAACTAATTAAAAGAGTTATCTTGTTTTCAATTCATTTTTTATAACAAAAAATATCACAATCCAAAACAAATAAACTATTTTTACCTAAGATCAAGTGTCAAATTTGAGAGATTAGAGTAATTTTTTAAAGCAGAACTTAAGTCTAATGCAATTTAATCACCAATTTAACTACTACTTTTTATATATAAAACAATAAATAATTAATTAGTTATTTAGAAGGAAAAAATAAAGAAAAAATATGAAATGATAAGAAATGAATTAATAAATAAATAATAAAAGCAAATGTTGAAAATAAAAAATGAATTATATCAAGAAACATAGAAGAAGAAGTAAATAAAGTGCAAATAAAAATAAAAAGAAAAGTAAATCAAATAAAAAGCTAATAAACAAATCAAAAGAGTTATCTTGAAATAAATAAACTGTTTTTACTAAAAATCAAGTGTTAATTTTGAGAGATTAGTGCAATTTGATAAAGCAGAAACTAAGCCTAATGCACCTTTTGCACCAATTTAATTACCACTTTTTAAATATTGAACAAAAAATATATAATTAATTTGTTATTTAGAATGAAAAAATGAAGTCAAAATATGAAATAATCTGAAATTAATTATCTGTGTTAGAATTAGGCTTGGTTTTTTAGGGAAAAAAAAGTTAAAAACCGAAAGAATTTGAAAATATAAATAAACCTTCGGTCGAATGAAAATAAAATAATGTGTATTTTTTAATAATTACAAAAAAATAGATAAGTAAAAAATAAATAATACTGGCAAAGTTTACCGAAAAGAATTTTTTTCTAATTCTAGCACTGTCAATAAATAAATAATAAAAATAAATTTTGAAAATAAAAAAATGAGTTAAATTAAGAAAGATAGAAGAAGAAAAAATACAAATACAATCAAAAAGAAAAATAAAAGTAAATCAAATAAAGCTAATAAACAAACTAAAAGAGTTATCTTATTTTCAATTCATTTTTATAACCAAAAATTTCACAATCCAAAACAAATAAACTTTTTTTACCGAAGATAAAGTGTCAAATTTGAGATATTAGTGCAATTTGCTAAAGCAGAACCTAAGCCTGATGTACCAATTGTGCCAATTTAATTGTAACTTTTTATTTAGATAGAAAAAATGAAGAAAAAAAAAATAAGGAATAATAAGTAATGAAATAATATGGATTAAAAGCAAATATTGAAAATAAAAAAATGAGTTAAATTAAGAAAGTTAGAAGAAAAAAAAAAACTAGAAGTACAATGAAAAATAAAATGAAATGTAAATCAAATAAAAAGCTAATAAACAAATTAAAAGAGTTATCTTGTTTTCAATTCATTTTTAAAAGTAAAAATATCACAATCCAAAACAAATAAACTGTTTTTACCGAAGATCAAGTGTCAAATTTGAGAGTTTAGTGTAATTTGCTAAACCGGAAACTAAGCCTAGTGCACCTTTTGCACCAATTTAATTACCACTTTATAAATATTGAATAAAAAATATATAATCAATTTGTTATTTAGAAGGAAAAAATGAAGAAAAAATATGAAATAATAAGAAATGAATTTATGAATAATAAAAACTGTTATTACGCAAGATAAATTGTCAAATCTGAGATATTAGAGCAATTTGCTAAAGCAGAACCTAAGCCTGATGCACCATTTGGGCCAATTTAATTGTAACTTTTTAAATATTGAGAAAAAAAAGTGTAAGTAATTAGTTATTTAGAAGGAAAAAATAAAATTAAGTTAAGTTAAATTAAATTAAATTAAGAAAGAAGATTAAGAAAAAAAGACAAGTACAATAAAAAAGAAAAATAAATCAAATAAAAAGCTAATAAACAAATTAAAAGAGTTATCATATTATCAATTTATTTTTAAAAGTAAAAATATCACAATCCAAAACAAAATAACTGTTTTTACCGAAGATCAAGTGTCAAATTTGAGAGATTAGAGCAATTTGCTAAAGCAGAACCTAAGCTTGATACACTTTAATCACCAATTTAATTACTACTTTTAAAATATAGAACAAAAATATATAATAAATAAGTTATTTAGAAGGAAAAAATGTTAAAATAATATGAAATAATAAGAAATAAGTTAAAAGTAATTAAAGCAAATGTTGAAAAAAATAAATAAATGAGTTAAATTAAGAAAGATAGAAGAAAAAAAACACAATTACAATCAAAAAGAAAAAGAATAGGAAATCAAATAAAAAGCTAATAAACAAATTTTGTTATTTTTTATAGTAAAATATCACAATCCAAAACAAAAAAAATATCAAATAATAAAAAATTGATTATTAATTTTAAAAATTTTAATTGGATGTTAAGTTAAAATTACTAAAAAACATTTTTATAAATAAAATGAATGAATTAGGTGATAATTTTTATTATAAAAATAATATTTTAAATAAACTAAAACTAAAATAAAGAGAAAATAATAATAGTAATAATATTAATAAATTAAATATACCCCAAATCAATATTGAGGACCTAATGAGATTAAAGTGAAGAGTTTATAAGCTTATTATATTATTAAAATTAAATTTAAAATATATTGATAAATAAATTAATAATTACTTCTTCTAATTTGTTATAATATTAAATCTATTATATCATTTTTTTTTCAAAAATATTGAATAACAATTTATGGAAATTTAATTAATTTTATAAGTCGATAAAAAGATCAAATAAGTTATGTTTGAAATATAAATGATAATGGGAATGCGAACCCACTAGAATAGTAACCCATTTTTTCAAATTTATACGTATTTATAGTATGAATGTCTCAATTTTCACCACTAAATCAAGTTCATGACATTCAAAGCTTTACAGTAATTATTTTAAATTTAAATACATAAAAAAAAAAAAATACACTAAATTCTAAAAGTAAATATTATTTTAAATCAATTAATTTAAAAAAAAAAAACTAATATTTTTTAAATGAAAAACAAAAAATATAAATTTATCTCAAACATCTATATTAAATATTATTTATTTTAAATCAAAAAAATTATACAATTAACCAAAAATATTTTGAGATTGATTGTATTTAATGTATTTTTGAATCAACAAAATCATACAAAATGACTTTATTAAATCTATGAATACCATTTCTATTAGAAAAGATATTATAAATAGGATTATAAATTAATTCGACTCACTTGGAGTTTTGCCACTAGATACTGCTAAAATTAAATAGTAACAAACTAAAATAATTCCTCCTTGCAAAATTATAGATACAATTTTACCAATTGAACCCTTTTTGAATAAAAACACAATTCCAAAAAAAGCAATCTCCATTAATGAGCTGTTAATTATGGCTATTATTAACTGCTAAATGAACATATTATAACCTTAGAATAATATTGATATAACTAATGTATATATTGCTTTTATGTAAAGCAGAGTGAATCTTAATGGTCGTTTAAGGATATCATCAAAAGTGTAAAAAATACTAAAAAATTAATGAAAAATTGCTACCTATTTCGCTTTTGAAAGTTACAAATAAACTCTAATTTTTTAAATTTCATCTTCATCTTAAACCTTTTTTATTTCGGTTTATGGTATTGCTTGAGTTTTTAAATTTGTAACACTATTAACACTTTTGCGATTTGATTATTGGTTAATTATTTGTAATTAATTAGATTCATCCTCTTCTTCATTCGTTTCAATATTTTGTTCTTAAAATTCCTTAAAGTTAATTAAGTTTTATTATATTTATAAGCTCAGGAATATTTATCTTTTTTTTTTCCTTTTAATTTAATTACCTATTATTTTTTAATCAAAAGGTGATAAAATCTATTGATTTTATTCCTAAATCTATGGTTAAACATTTTCATTATTTTTAATTTAATTAGCTAAAGGTGACTACTGGAATATATCATTGTTTATTTTTTAAGAATTCTAACAAATGTTTGAGTTATTTTCATCTATTTATTATTCTTGTTATCCTTAATCTTACAAGTTATTGAGTTCTAAATTATGGACTTTTGAGTATCTTTTTTTTAATGATTATTTATCTAAGAATTTTCCAATTATAAATAATAAAATATGAATCAATGTGAAACTTATCAATAGCCAAAATACTACATACATTTAAAAATTATCGAAACTTGCAATATTTAATAGCCCTTATTCTCCAAATGCTGTCTACAAATTTTTATTTTTTAAGAACATGTCATCAATATCTTCAATGAGAGTTGTTGGTTTTTAAAATTTACACAAGCATATATAATCATTTTCATTAATTTTATTGATATTACAATTTTCTTTGCTCCATGAAAGATCATTTTATTAGAGGCATGTCATATTATATAACTTACTAGAATTTGTATTATTAAACTCGTAAATAATAGTAGACTGGTTTAAGGTTATGTAAAAAGAATAATTATAAATCTATGGTGATATTAATTCATTCTTAGAGTAAGTGAAATTTTAACTAATATTTTTGAATTGCTATGTGTAAGTCTAAAATTCTGAAGTATTTTCATAAATATTTAATTTATAATTATTTCTTGAAATACTAAATATACTGGTTTAATTTGTAGTGTAATCATCTAAAGTTAGAACGTATTTGAATATATTTTTCTATGTTACTTTATCTGTTAAAAGAGTGGACAAGCCACCATTTAAAATAATCTCTCCTTAGTTTGGTAAATTAATGTTATTAAGCAGATTTCCAATCTAACTTGATATTTTCTCGTAGGACTAAAAATCATCCTATGAGTTATTACTATACAAAGTAACACTAGAGTTTAAAATTTTAAAAGAATCTATTACATTTTAAATTTGAATGTCATTAATTTGTTGTAAATAACTAAGATTATTACTTTGTATACTTGAGTTAGTATTTTGGAGTATTGTTTACAGTTAAGTAAATATTTTATTTTTCTACGTGGTAGGATTGTTTTAGTATGGTGAGCTAAAGAGAACTTATGATAACTAAGCCGTTACTTTGTTCGCATATGTAGACAAAAAGGAGAATTTAGGTATTTAGAGAGATAATTTCTATATATTTTAAATCAATAGACTTTCTAAATCTTTGAATTGCTATGAAAGTTGATTATTTTTATAGATGTCTTCTGCAATAATACTTAAAGTCACTAGTTAGTTAGTGCATTATATATTTGAGCTTTACAAAGTTTATGAAATTAGTTGATTTACCAGATTATAATATTCGTCAGTATGTTTATTCTAAGATTGAACCTATATTATTGAAGAGCTATTATAAACTCCTAGGTAAGAATCCATAGCTTGTACCATAACAACTAGATTTCCTTAAGGTAATATTGTTTAAATTGAGTTTTCTAAAGTCTAGTCTTATATTTATCTTCTCAAAATATTCCAAGGAGAAAATAATTCTTGATTGGCATCATCTATACTATTGTAATAGAAGAATTAGTAAGTTAAAGGTAGATCTTCATCAGTACAACCCAAGTATTAAATTTAGAAGATAGTCTAGAGAGCTATGCCTGATAAGGGATTAATATTTAAAATACAATTCTGAGGGGGGATATTAATTTAAAGGCTAACTATAGAAGAACTTGGCATAACAAATAATGGATTATACACAGAAAATCTTATTTGAAGTGTTGGCTTTGAGGGATCTATGTTTTAAAAATAGTTCCAAATTCTGAATCTAACTTGGAAATAATCAAATTTGATTGCTGCAACTGTGTTACTATTGTATACTATAGCTCCTGCATAAGAAAAATAATCTGATGAAATGTTCTCCCCATAAATTATTTAAAAGCTAAGATCTTCATTTAAATTAATTTTTTGGTTAATGCGTCCTGCTGTAAACAAAATATTTAGTGGAGGAATATCTAATTCTGTGAATATACAAGTAGTTGTGAAATTCGATTGCCTAGAATCTTTTTATCCAATAACTGTAAATTAAATTGCAGTGTATGGCTAAAAAGTTTTAGCAGGAAATGTAATATTACTCGCTCCTTATTGCAATTAAATCTACTTATTTTAGTAATCATAGCAAATATGGTCATTAGAGGATAGACTATTACATTTCCAACTAAAATTTATATTTGAAAGGGAGTTTTCATCTTAAATCTCGTAATCCCTAGAATCTGTATTTAAGACCATTTTATTTTGATAACCTATATTAATACTTGAGCCTCCAATAATCTACAAATATAAATCTGTAATTTAAATATTAACTGATACATTTTGGATGGCAGTAATCAAATTATCCGAACTCAAATTCAAAATTAACTATTATTAAAAATGAAATGTTAAAAATAAATAAATAAATAAAAATAATTTTGAAAGATGCATTTGTAAATTTGAATATTAAAAAATAATATCTTATTAATAAAAATATGAAAACTTATTCAATATTTAGATACAATAGTTTCTCATCAATTAAGGACAAACTCAAATCAAAATTTTTGTAAAAATTTAGTACTCCATTTTTTTTCAAAAAATATGGGGGGAGGGGGTGAGTGGCCTTAATTAATGAGGAATTACGGATTATATATTTTCAAAATTAAGTTATTTTTAATCAAAAATTTCTTCAATAAAATTGAGAAATATTTTTTTTTTCTTTCTACCATTATTATGGATATTTGATAGATAAATTAAAAAGTTTTGAAGGTGTTTCAAAATGTATATAAAAATTTACGCTCATATTAAAAGTTTTATTAGATGCTAGGGAGTAAGGGAGAATATCATATTGAAAGCTTGATTAATTATATTGAGTTAGACTTTGTTTTTAAAGCTAGTTAGAAACTACTTATAAATCAACAGGCTCATTAAAATAAGTTATTTCGCCTATCTCGCACGTCTCAATATAAAACTAAAAATAGAAAGTCAAGCTCATAGATCTTTTTATTATTTTAAAAATAATTAATATTTATAAAATAATTCATTATAAGTAAAAATTAACCTATAAATTGGTGGATACAGAGATTGCTAATAATTAATTCTTATAACTTTTTATTTTTAATAAATAATGGTGAATATTTAAGTGCCAGTTTAGTTAACCTTTAATAAGTAACTAAATTATATAGTAATATTAATATTTGGAGGTAAGAATATAGGATCGATAATTAAACTAGTATTTTTATTTTGGCTTGCTTTTAATAATATTTCTTTTATCCTTTCTTACTGTACTTTGCTTATTGAGCCTACAATTTGATTTAAATTCCAATTTACACTCATAAATTTTCTTCCTGCATCATTTTAAATATTATAGAGAGTTATATTTATAGAATTACAGCTGTTTTCTATGTGATTATAACTAAATTAAAGTAAAGGGATTCCAGGGGGATCTTGAAAAGTAATATTTCTATAAAATATATTAATGAAATAGGCACTATAATCTATAAACTGCAACTTATTTGGCAAAAAATTAATTGAGTTATTTTCCATTATAGTTGATGAGCTGCCTATTTATTTACCAAATTAAATAAAATATTTTTAAAATAAATGAAGGTATTTATTTTAAATTATTTAAAAATTTTATGTATTGAATTGAATATTCATTCTTTCTATAAAATTATTTTACTTAAATTAACCAAAATTTTAGTTTCATTGATTTGGCATAAAGAATCTTACCCAAGCATGTCTAAAGTTGTTTAATCAAATATCTATGAACACAATGATTAAGGTGTATTTGCTATGATATTCACCAATGGAGATCCAAAATCAAGAGAAAGCTATGGAGATATTGCACTTAGTCTTGCATCAATAACAGCAATATTTTCATAACTGCATTAATAAAATATATTCCTTTTATCATTTTAGTTTTTGCAAACACATCTATTACTTGAAACATCTAATTATCTTGTTTCATTATAACAAGTCTCACATTATTCATATAAAATCTATGATTAATCACAATATAAACATGTAGGATTACAGGGATTGCACTTTTTGCTCCAATAATTTTAGCATAAATCGCATGTGAGCGCAGTTTAGTTACTTTAAAACCCATTTGGACAAAAATTAAGACAACTTTTGTTATAGAAAAATTTTTTAGGTTAACAAGTTAAACAATTGTTTGAGTCTTTTCCATCACAACTTGAACAGCTATTATCACATAATTAGCACTACTTCTACTAATCTACAAATTAGTTATTGTCACAAGAACTTACACACTATTTTGTAGTATACTAATAATAGAACCCAGAAGAACATTATAAGCACACTTAATTTTCATCACATTTATCGCAATTTATTTAGCACTTTTTTTATATTAAGTAAATGTTTTTTAGAGAGTATTTTTTTTAAAATATTTAAAGAAAATTGTTTATAGTATAAAATTTGTTAAAAATTAAATGATTTATTTAATATTGTAATTTATAAATAATGCCTCTCTGTTATTTTAATAATTAAATTTACCAATTATACACTTAGATTGATATTTTGAAAAAAAATTTGACATTTTAAATCCTCATAGTCATAATTAAATGGAGTTATTATGATTGTTAAACTATCTATATTCTACTTTGATATAGACACATTAAATGCATATTAAGAGTAGTGATACTTATCATCTAGCTTAACAAATCCAGCATCATGAATGTTTATATATTCGACATTATTTATATCAACTATCGGTCTTAAAAAATAAACAGGTGAATATTATGCATACAAAGTAAACATTAAAAAAAATGAATATATCTTTCTAGCCCTAAAGAAATATTTAGAAAAAATATATTAATTTTCTTGTGGATTTTAAAAATAAATAAATAAATAAATGCAACATTAATTATAGATTAGAAAAGATTAATATTTTGCTAAAAAAATTTTTGTTATGCTAATAATTTGTTTGTTTTACGGGTTTTAGGGAGTATATATTATTGTTTGTTTTTCCATTGAATTACATTCAGTCCCTGATAAGTAGTAATTTTAATCATATTAAAAAACAGTTGAATTTAAACAATTCATGTTTGAGAAATATTGTTTCATGCTGTCTATTTCAGATTACTATGGAGGTTTTTAATAATTAATGATGCATTAACTAACTTAAGTTTATAAAAAATGATTTAATAATAAGATAATAATTCAAAATAAGTTTACATTCAGGATTCAAACCTCCAAAATTCACTTATCCTTGGTTGCAATTGAAAAAATTATCAGCATATAATTGTTTTAAGACTGTTTAATTATTAAAACAAATAAATCTTTTTTACATAATTTATTATTCAAAAATGTTACATTGCAAAATAATCAAGAGTAATGTTCTGATTTTCTAAGTTTACATTTTTTATTCCACTTATTTTTGAAGATTTAGATTAATAATTGTTTGTGATTAATTAAAGTTTATAAGCTAAATTGATATCCTGTGTCATCTATAAATAAATTATTTTTATATTAGTTACCAAGCAAATAAAAATATATTAATATCATTAAAATTTATCTTAACTTAGACTCTAATTTAACTAAATAAATAAACAAACAAACAAACAAACAAACAAACAAACAAACAAACAAACAAACAAACAAACAAACAAACAAACAAACAAACAAACAAACCCCTCTGAAACTATTTTTAGATACAAAAATTTTTAAAATAAACATTTTTTTAGAGGTGATACTTATTATAAAGGTTGGAGATTTAAAAGCTGAAGTAAATTATCTAAGCTCTCTTTCAAGATTCGTGCTTTAAGAATTCATTATTTCCTTTAAATTATAGAGTATTTTAAATCAAATTAAGGCTGTAATAAACTATTTATTTAGACTCAATTCTAAATTAAAATTACTGTTCATATATCCAATTCTTAATCAATAAAAAAAACAGTAAATTAGTTTCATTAATTATTAAGATTATGCTCTACTGCTTCATCATGTGGGATTTTTGGTATTCTTTTAAACTAGTATCTGCAATTTAAACTAAGCTTTAAATAGTTTTTTTAAATGAATTTATTCACAAATATAAACGTGTTTATAATTAATTAATTAGCACTATAATCATCACAATATAACTAACTACTTTTAAACCTTTTTAAAAATTATGTTTTAAATTTTTACGAACCAACAAATAAATTTAAGCTAATTGTATATTTAAGCTATAAACTACTCATAAAATTCAAAGTATTTCTTATATTTTGAAAAATTAATTTTGATTAAGCATCTACTTATTATAATTGCTATGCAGAAGAATTAGATGATTACTGATAATAATCAATTAATCTTATTATTTCTTAAAACTCAATCCTAATTTGGCCTTTAATTTTCGAAAAATAAAGTAGTAGCTATTACATAATAAGTAAATATATTCATTTAAATATTTACCATCAATTTTTAAAATATTATCTTATTATTAACATAATTTTACAAACAAACAAATAAATGTGCAATTGAACTTAGATCCTAAAAAAATATTAGATATAATATCATACATTTAATTTAATTCTAGTGTTTCTTATTTTTAAAAAAAGTAATTTATTTTGATAATTCATTCTATTGTTGTTAAGAAGAATTAAATGATTCAGATAATATTCTATTAATCTTATTATTTATTAAAGTCAAGCCTGATTTTATTTAGATTTGTAAAAAAGGAAGGAGCTATTTCAAAACTAATAAATATATTCACTTAAATATTTTCCTTCTATTTTTAAAAGAAGTCTTATTTTAAAAAAATGTAAACTCTATTCTAACGAAATAGTTAATAAAAATATAAAAAATTATCATATACTATTTATCTTTAAAATTAATTCACTGCTATCATTTATAACTTAAAGAAACAATTATATAGCATATTTATTTCACTTAAAATATATAAATTTTATAAAAATTTGACGAACGATCAATAAAAATAAATGAAGGTAAATAAATAATGCTCATACATTTTACAATAGTAATTAAAATATTTAAAAATTCCATAATTCTATTTAAAAAATAAATAAAAAGAAATTTTATCTTTAAATTAGGATAATTATTTTTTAAGTTGAATGCCTAAAACAGTAACTTGTAAATAAATACAATTAATTTGAATCTTCGCATTAATGAAGGTCAAAAAAACTACAAATAATTTTGTCTTTATTTTCATCCTATTAATAATAACCCTCTATTTGTCCCTATTACCTCCAGGAAACGTTTGATATTTAAAAATGGCTTTTATTGGTTTTACTAATTTTTTTTTATACGAGTGAATTTTAAATTATTGATTATGTTTTCCTGTCTTTAGCGCTTAAAATTAAAGTAAAATTGAATTAATAGAACTTATACCCAATCAAGAATTATATGTTTCACAGAATGAATATCCATAGCTTAGACAATAAAAAAATCCTCCAGCTATTTATTCTGTGAAAATTAACAAATTTATGATTCTTAATTAAGGAACCAATCTAAAATAAATTTCATCTAAAGTCATATTGACATTAAAACAAAACATATAATACCGTATTCCACAAATAATTCTGCATATGGAGAGGGAAAACTCTAACTTTTGAAATCTATTACTTAAAAATATTTATTTGAACAAATTTTTAATCTTAATTAAAAATTCTCTTATTGAGTACTGACAGTAAATATTTTAAAAAATATTTCCTTTTAATTTCAATAATTTTTGCAAAAATGCATAATTATGCTAATTTATACATAATAATTATAATAAATAATAATTTTATTAATTTATCTATATATCTAAACTGAATCAATTCACTAGCCACTTATTTATTAAAATTCATTATTTTAATCTTTTAAAAATAAAAATAGAAAAATAATAGTGCCAAAGTAAACTACAAGTGATAACAATAGCCAAATTAAATTTTTTTATGGTTCTTTGGGATACTCCGGAGCAAAAAATTTAGTCAGTAAATGTCCCATCAAATAGCTTCCACAGTGACCAAAAATTGGAATATTAGGATACACTTAATTAGCAACATAAATAATCATTAGTATAAAAAGTAATTTTATTAATGGAAGTACACCAGACTCATGAGAAGAAGAGAAAAAAGCATAGAGGTTAGAATTTTTAGTCTATTAAAATATATTATGTTCCTACATTAGAGAAATCAGTATAATTCCTATGCAGAATGAACCTCCAACTCCAGGTCTTGAAGTCAGCAACGCATTAAAAATGACTCCATAAGTAGAAATAAGCAGATAGATAAAGATTGCTTTTAAAAAACCTTATATATATTCTACAAAAGATAAGAAGTAAATCTTAACAAATATACTAAAGAAAAAGTGAAGGAAATTCTAATAAATAAAAATAGGTGTAATAAATCTATAG